AATAAATAAATAAATAAATAAAATAAATGGCCATGTATAATACAGGGTCAAACACGTACGGGAAGAACTGACTAGCTTAAAATCAAACATATCACGCTATTCTGCTAGCTACTTAAACCCGAAGAAATCTGTCGTTGTTTGAACAGTGTGCAATGCCTAGAATTAATACGTGATTGTGACAAGGAAAATAGACGGTAGGTACATCTTCCAAATGATGGTAACCGTTTGCCGGTTATGACGATTTAGCGGCGGGACTGGAGACAATCAGAAACTATTGAATAGTTTGAATGTAATTGAGAAATGAAGACACAAGATTTCAGTTCGGCACATTAGTTCAGATCCGAACCCCCAAAAATAAATGGGAGGCAAAGTTCAATGATCTCTTAATATAAATAATAATATGAACCTAGTATATATGGCCTCGCTCTCCATGAGTTCTACGTAGCTCAAGTGGATAGAGCGACCGCACGGTGTTTGGGAGGTCATAGGTTCGAATTCTGTCTGGGACTCAGATTTTTCTTTGTCCTACGCTTGTGACATGCAGATCATTTCATTTTCACATTTGTTTCACCGAGCTTAAAAATTACCATCTTTCATTTCTTTGAAACAAGCTTGTGGTCCTTTCCCATCTCAATCCCATATTTCTTATAGTGAAGCTTCTTTATCTCTCGTAAAAAGTGGACCGAGAACCCTGATCATGAGTCCATCCGATCAGTTCATGTTCCTGACTCCTGTTTTCTTTGCTCACGTCGCCCAAAAATCGTACTCTTGCACCTTTCTATGGTCAGAACTCTATATGTTATCTTTGGTGTTTCTTGGTGTTACGGAAACCGACACTTTTGTTTTGTTTTGTGGGTATTGATAAGCTTTCTTCTCTGCAACACCAAGAACTGACTACCATTATGCAGTGCATTATTTCAGTGACGTCTATAACAATTAGTCCGTTAATCCCCAAACCGTTATCTTGAAGTCCAGAGATGCGAGAAACTCAAATATTAATTAAAAGGCTGGTTTAGTCTTGTAGGTACGAAACGAGTACATGTATGTATATCTTCACACAGTGGAACCTCCCGGTTCACGTTACCCGTCTCTCCATATTTGGGGTTTAAGATTCGCGGATGGTAGCTCGCGGCTGCTGTTTTTGTTTTCATTCATCCACTTAACTCTATTTTAGCTGAGAAATTGTCTTCAAAATTACAGTTTTTTAAAAATTAAATTCAATTATCACCAGGCAAAATAGTTCTAAAAAGTCGTCTTTCTTCTCAAACGTGGGATTGTGATGTTTTAGGGTGCAATAAACCTTGCGGTAAATCACTTCCCTCTGGAGCGTGGTCCAGCCGTACAACCGTGAACCTCAAACCTCAAACCTGACGGCAAGGTCCTGGTCAGGTGACTTCTTGACGTTCGCGGTTCTCGGGAAATGCTGAAAAACCTCAATCTTAAGATCCCTATTGTCTTAATTCTTTTATTTGTAACGGACGCTAGATATAAGTCACCTAGCCTCGGTCCCTTAACGATGGCTCAGTTCTACGCCTTATTACCCGCTCTATCTTCCCACCTCTAACTCCCTTCTGCCGTTTACACCTTCTTTTCTCCCCGTTTCCAGTTATAATGCACACCAAACATCAAAAGGTAAAACAGTTAACCGGCAAACAGCATTTTTAATTATTTATTCACTACTGCGTCATACTACTATCTTCTTTTTATAATGTTCTTAAAATGATCTTAATAGGTCCTCGCTCCATATTTCGAGTGCAATGATGACACTAGATGACGTCTTTTTACTGCTTAGACCTGAATTCATTTCGATTGATCCTTCATGAAAAATTTGGTAAACCCGTTGAGGTTTAAAAAACAAAGCCCTCGTTTACCTAGAAAGGAAAAGCCTGAGGGATTCTGGTAGTAAGTAAAATTACTCCAACGTGCAAAAGCAGGAGGTTATTAATGCCACTAAATTGTGCCTTTATTTTCAATGAAACTCCTATTCTAATATAGTCCAAAAATCAGGGCTCAACCTTGTGTGATCAACTCTCGATATTGAGGTCACCCTCGGGACCGCGAGTTAGTGTCCTTCGTGCAATAGGTAGGAATATAGCGGCTGTTCGTATCAATGCCGAGGAGCCCGTAATAGCAGGGTGTCCGCAATGCGAGAGTTGACTGTATCCCTAGTCCTTATATCCATTTCGCTTACAATTTCACAGAGTGCTTCCCTGTACCGATCAAAAAACATGTAAGCAGTTTCATACAACGCACTCTCCTCATCTTAACTATCATGTTGTCCATCGCAGTTTATTTAGCAACTGCATGGCGTTGTTGGAGTCAGTAATTAGTAGTACTGTGTTCTATCATNAGCAGGAGGTTATTAATGCCACTAAATTGTGCCTTTATTTTCAATGAAACTCCTATTCTAATATAGTCCAAAAATCAGGGCTCAACCTTGTGTGATCAACTCTCGATATTGAGGTCACCCTCGGGACCGCGAGTTAGTGTCCTTCGTGCAATAGGTAGGAATATAGCGGCTGTTCGTATCAATGCCGAGGAGCCCGTAATAGCAGGGTGTCCGCAATGCGAGAGTTGACTGTATCCCTAGTCCTTATATCCATTTCGCTTACAATTTCACAGACTGCCTCCCTGTACCGATCAAAAAACATGTAAGCAGTTTCATACAACGCACTCTCCTCATCTTAACTATCATGTTGTCCATCGCAGTTTATTTAGCAACTGCATGGCGTTGTTGGAGTCAGTAATTAGTAGTACTGTGTTCTATCATTCAACATAATAACAATTGTCTACGTCATAGGCACTATGATCTGCAAAACGGCTTAAAAGAATATTTATTCTTATATTAAGTTTCAAGAAACCTGGTTTTTATTGCTAAGGCAAACGTTGTCCTACCTCACGTTTTTCTTTCTTTGCTAAAGTCGTTAAAGTTATACGAGTTAAGCGCATTTTTTTTTGAGATGGCTTGTTTTTAAAGCCTACTTTGGTGAAAAGATAGAATATGTATACAGCTAAATCAAAAAAGGTTGCTTTGGTAATTGGTCATTTTGGTAATTGGACATTTGGCATATAGAACAATGCAATGATTAACTTGTATGAGTGACCGCCAAACGTTCCCAGTGAGCAATTCCCCATGCCCAAAGCAACCTTTATAGAGAGGAGAAGTCGTAACGTCACGTTGTTATCGGTAGCAAAAATTTCTGGATGACAACAACTCGAAAACGTCACTTAAAAAGTGAATTTGCATCGTTTCAAACTTCATCGATCTTATTCAATTTCATTTAATTTGTAACATCTGGAGTTGAATAAGAAAAGACCGTATCCGAGAATTTTGTGCTGTTATATCACCAACTCCATGAAGCGGGCGCGTGAAATTAGGAAGTTTCACCTCGCAGACTTGCAACGACGACTAAGAAATGTACAAAAAAGCGTGATGCACGTTCAAAGTTGTTAGTTTCACCTTGCAGGCACCTGCCTATAACGGACTCTCCGACCGATAATACGGACAGCAGCTAAATCCCACGCAAAAATAAATTATAGATGTTTGACAGAAATATAATCCCGCTATGACGGACTCTCGCTAATGAGGGCACTTACTCAAGGTCCCCGCAGTGTCCTCTATAAAGGGAGTTGACTGTACAAACCGATTTTTTTTTGCCGTTCTCGTTGCCGTCGCCGTCGTTGTTACTTAAGCTCCCCATTGTTGTGATCTAAAAATGTTGCTACCATGGTAAAGTGAAGTCACACTTTTCCTCTCTATTGAATTAGCTATATACTTTGTTTGCGTCTTGTATCTAGTAAGTGCTACAATAACGAAGATAACAACCAGCAGGTGTACCACTAAGATAGTACACGTAATATGAACCACAGTTTCTCACTTTGATACTTGTTGAGTAATAATAGCAGCTGTAATAACTTCTAAAATACACCGTCCTGGTGACCTGACCAGCCGCTACTGTGGGGTGTCCTCCACTTAGCCAGCCAGTATAATAGGTACCACACCTTTTGTAAGATGTACATGATGTTGCCATTCTTGTGCCGGCAGACCCCTGGAAACGGAACCATCCAGGGCCGAGACTGCTATCACAATAATAGCCGTAGCTGTACGTAGTCCTTCGGGTTCCGCTGTTTAGACTCCCATAATTCTGACATTCTGACACAAAAGAAGAAAAAGAACACCAGTCGCTAAGCATTGGAAATCGTTTTATGCTTAACTGTTTTGCAACGTTTCATTTATTCTACATCAGCTCGAGGTAAAAAAGGGGAACTTTTCATTTCTTAAATTCTCCTCTACACCCTCACTGTTTACAAACAACAACACAGGAAGAAAACAGAGAGTAATAGTAGAAATTGCATTAAAGTAGACTTGCCCACAAGTCGAGCTGTATACTGTCCCCTCCGAAGGCCGTTTCCTGCAGGACTTCGTTAACAATCAAGGGTATTCCCAACAGTGGTCGACAGTCTCAAAAGCTTTTCTTTTAAACCCCAACGTATTTTAAACGTAAAACCCCGTTCAAGCAGCCAAGGTCAGCGTAAGGTACATCACTCACTAGTGTACGGGTTTGGTATTAAATAAAAATTTTCCTTATTATATTATCCTCATTGTCTTTTCCCAATTACCTGATGATATGTTGCAAGTTCTGCCATCTCCAATGTAAGAACTGTTACATGAACAATTAAAGGATCCCACCGTGTTTGTACATGAAGCACGTGAACTGTGACAGTCATCTGTACCGCTAGCACACTCGTCAATATCTGGAAATAAACAAAATAACAATAAGTATTTTTTAAGTCACGCCCATTTTCCTAGCGAAGAGGTAGCAGGATACAAGGAAGACGGACTGAAATAACATGAGCTTGATTAAAACAGGTTTCAACAATCGTTGCAGTTACTGGACAATAACCATAACGCACTCACATTGTTTGAGTTTGTACTGTCTTGACAAGTTTTAATTTCATGGAAAAAGGAACGCCCGGGGGGTGAGGGGTAGGTGGCGGCCTTACTCCTAGGGTTCCTAAAGTACGTTGTAAAGGCCCGTTCACACTGGCAAATTTCCGTGCGTTTGTTCTGTGTTTTTAGGCCCGTGTAAGCTATTAGTTGAGGTGATAAGTGTTTTCATCACGTACATGCGCCTAATAGAAACCGCTGCATGAACCCGACATATCATCGAGCATGCAATCTCATGACCTCAAAGAGGCTGCTGGTGAATTGTTGTAAACTGATGAGCAAAGGATCGCAGGCTATCCAAAACCTACTAGATTGGAAAGAAAAAAGAGAAACGCGAAATTCAGAGTGCTTCAAGAAAAGCGGAAAACACAATCATGCATTGAGTTTTTCGACGACAATAACATTTCATTTTTTTCTAAACTAAATCTATTTTTTCGAAGCATTTTTGCGTTCGACTAGAATGTAACCCCCAATTTTGTGTGTGGTTGGCTGTTTCTCTTTTTTGGGTGTCCTGTACACGATCTAGCCAGGACGTTTTGACCTTCCAAACATTCCTATGGTTACTAAAATGGCGCTCCCAGATATATTTTCTGCAGGGCCTTTTATCCAATGCGTACTCTCAGCCTTTGCAGCCAATCAATTCTCGTGGGTGGGTCGCGTGCGTTTTTCTTTCGTTGCGCACCGCTCTATTTTCAGGACTTTTCATCGCAAAAACGTTTCCCTTTCGTTGTCAAGCTGTGAACGTAGTTAAGTAAGTAAAGGAAAGAAATTCTATTCTTTCTCAGACGTCATTTCCCGGGAAAACCATTAGTAGCGTCTCGAAATGTCGGCTGTTTTCTTAGGCTAGAGTTTGAAAGGCTACTGCCAATTTTCGTGGACCCGTCAAGTGCATCGTGTTCACGTTTATTCTTCTTTGCAAAGAGCTCTCCAAAGTTTCACAAAGAAGAAGGAGTTGCGATAAAAGTACCTTGAATGATGCTTTGATCCTGTCTCTGCTATTTATCAAAACTTTGTCACCGGAAAAAACAAACTGCTAATTCTGTTATCCAACCGGGTTTATGAACTAAAACTCCCCACGTCTCAAAGTTCACAATATGCTTCAGCTCCTTTACTATCCGCCTATTACCCATGTCGAAGGCACTCCCTAATCTATGATAATACTCCTAATCATAACGGTCCCACCTGCATACCCTCCACCCCTCCCCCCGCCCTCGTCCCGAAACCAGCGCCCCCGACCCTGCACGTGAAAGACTGCTGCTTACAGGCTTCATGGGTTATTTTCATTTAATGATCACATCAGCTGGCAACCTCGCTACTAATGGCTGTCTAATGGCTATACCATGCAGCCGGTACTCGAAGTTGACTCCTTTAAACAAAGTATATGATTGTTTCTGTTGTTGGTTTTGTTGTTGTCTGACCTACCAAAAACCTTTTCCGTCTGTACTCGAGTTAACAAGTTTACAGGAGTCATTGACAGTGTTCCCTTTCTTATATGTCACCTTTAGAAAAAGATCAAAGCGCCTTACCAGTGCATGTTCTTCCATCTCCTGAATATCCTGCTTTACATGCGCATGCATACGATCCAAGAGTATTGTTACACACCGCATTGACGCCACAGCTATGGGCGTTGGAAGAACACTCGTCCATATCTGGGAAAATGTAGTGAAGCTTAGCGTAAAGATAAGAGATTTTGCATATTATGCCTGATGGCAGTCAGCGTAACTTTGATCAATTATTCAGCAATTATTGGACTCGACTTCCTTACTCTTTCCCCCTTCCCCTCCACTCCCCACCCCTCGAGACCTGCATAATTCTTCATATCATACAAAGCAGAATCAAACATTTTTTTTATTAATTGAAGCACAGGGTCCAGAGGAGATGTGTTTGTCGTTAGAACAAAGTCGATCTGGGTCAGATAAGAAGCGAAGAAATCGTTTACAGTAGATTCATTAAGATCCCATTGGGCTAATTAATCGTGCTAAGCGACAGGTATACACATTTTTCAAGGTGAGACAGTAAGTAATTCATTTATTCGCACGAAACTCCTTTGGACCCTGTGATTGAAGGTATTTCAAAACTTTAAATCATGCTTTTCTTCATCGATGTAAAGTTTCGTCTGCATAACATTTGCCTCTTCCTCGGAGAATTCAGGATATAAGGGCGCGTTTAGTCTAGCCGGAAAATATTTATCTTCATAAGGAGCTGTCATCGGTTGAGTGGTATGTTTGCTGTTTGTTTGCTTTGCCGTTAGGCAGTAGTTCGGCTCTCTTTTTTTTTTCTTCGCCATTTTCTCCAGCATTACCAAAACCGAACTACCAAGCCTTCGGCTGTCCTTTGTAGATCAATAATTAACCGTTAAAATTCTTGGGAACCCAGGGGCAGTCAAGCCAGGTTCCACACAAATCCGGATATTTTTGGAACAGCCATATTTTTTTTAGCACGAACCGTCCTTTCGTCCACGTAAAACCTATGAATCCTTTCACCGAAGCCGCATCTTTTTTAAACCGCGCTCCAGATAGGTTTAAGGTCTCGTCCATACGAGTACAGTTGTGTAAAGAAATGTATGCGGTTTTTGCAATTGGATTCGTATAGCCGGGGCCTCAGTCGAGTCGAGAGAAACGGCGTAACTAACTGCCCCTAGGTCTCCGAGGATGTCTTACAAGTCTCATCTCTGAGGATATCTGCAAACATCTTCCACATTTGGTTAACGGTAGCTGGTTTTGAAAAATTAGCGGGGGGAATACGCAATCAGAAACGCAGAAGTATTTTGAATTATCTACCTGATGGTTTACACCTGGTCGCTAAGGTCAAAGTATCCATTTTTTTTTATGCGAAACAAGTCATCAGGTGACAGTGTTAAGGGTTTATTTCACACCGCGTAGGAATTGCACCCTTCAGCCATTGTTTGACTTTATTGCCTTCTCAGAATCCGTCCACACGAACCGGATATTTTTGAGAACTGCCTATTGCCTTTTGCCTTTTTGTTACACGAATCGGCATTCCGTCAACACGAAACCAGTTAATCCGCTCACCGAAACCGAATCTTTTTAAAACCGCTCAGAGTGGTTTAAGACCCCGTTTGGGGGGTTTGGATTTGGGGGGTTTGGGTTTGGGTTTGGGTTTAACTGGGTAAAAAGATATGTAGTTTCAAAGTGCCCCGATTCGTGTGGACGCGGCCTCAGTTTACTTATAATCTAATATACCATTGCAGGTTTTTCCATCTCCTGTGTACCCGGCATTACACGAACATGTGTATGAACCCGCGTTATTCTGGCAAACGGAATTAACGTCACAGGAATGAGAACCAGTGGTACATTCATCCAAGTCTAAAAGGGAAAATCACATACTGAAGAGATTAAACAATCTTTACTCTTATCCTGTCTTAAAAGTTAAGAATTTCTTTCCTTTGTATATAGCTGTGTAACTAACTGTAGCGAGAAAGTAACATATGGGAAAAACGTGACTCGCAGAAAGGATCTTACAAAGCTTGCCCTGAGCTCATGTTCGATGAACCATTTAATATATAATTCAAAGTTAATGTAGTTGAATGTCTTGGGGCACTATCTGCTAACTGAGGTTCACAAAACATAATTATTAATGATCTTGGTATGCCTAACACCTTTAAAACAAGTGTAGTTATAGCAGTTATGACAAGGCACATCATTCCAAGTGTAACCATGCCTGGCGCCAAGAGTGTGAACACAATCTTCGTTTTTCCAGTCGTTCGGTTGCTGTGGGGCCCAGAACCTAAAACTACTTATTTCTTTGTTTGTCCACACAAAAGAGCCCTCCACACTTCGATCATTGAGTCCGATCCAGGATCTCTCTCCGTTGGGACGGTGTTGAATATAGACGTTTTCATTTTGGTTGTGAACTGTTACCAAACTGGAACTCATCGTAGAACAGTTTGATACAGCAGTGAGCCACGAGCCACAAGTGCGACTTGTAAAGTAACAGTAGCCACTAAAATAGCTCCAAGCTGGCTGGCAAATACCTGGGAATTCGAAATAGATGCAACATTTGTGGAATTAAGATACCCAATTACCTCGAATAGTTATCACTCTATGTACCTTACGTTTGATAAACATTAATATATTGAGATCCTGCCTTTAATCTGAGCTAAAGACACTTAAAAGCTGCAGGAAACCAAACTAACAGTATATACAGTGTAATAATTTATGCGCATCAAGTTCAAGAAGTGGTTCACAACTGCAACAAAGAAAACTTTGTCACACCGAGGCGTCTCAGTAAAAGAAATCCACCCTTGCAATGTAATCTACGCTTTAATGGGTGCTGAGATAATCCGGTTTAGGACTACCTTAAGCACCGCCTTTCAGGTTAATATTGTTGGTTAATATTAAGTTAGCTGTATCTAATATGTAAAATTGGAGAGTTTCTAGTCTAATAAGGATGTCGTCCTTTACCTGACAAGACAGTATATGACACGGAGAGAGGGTCGTACTTTGAGTCGTACAATTCCTTTGTACACACTCGAGCCCCTGTTGCATTGATGTACTAAAAATTAAAATGAAAAAAAATAAAAATAAAAACAGATGATCATTTGTACATTTTTTAATTCACCGATCCTAAATTATCAAGTCTTAGTCTAGACAAAAAATTAATCTGCTACTGACTACTATTTGTAGTTTTATCTACTTTTAAAGCACTGCGTTTAGTCATTACGTCATTGAAACTGCTTTAAGTGCCCATAACCTAACATTTATTATTATCATTATTATTACTATTATTATTATTATTATAATTATTATTATCATTTGAAAGTACGCATTACTGCGAGAACCTCGTCTGCGGAAAAATTTTGCGATGCGAACTCAAAGTTGTGTTTTTTTTTAGAATTTTTTCTTAGACGTTCAAAGTTGCTGCCACTTTGGCACACCATTGGAACAAACGAGATGTGACGTAAATTAAGGAAAACGTAACTTTAGATGCAAGAAAACAAGTGTGGAGCCATGTTAGTTCAATCATTTTTTAGCACAAGTCTTTTTATTACTGAACCACTTCCTACACATTATAATCATTATTAGTTTACTGCCATGAAAGAAAGCTCAACAAGCATCACAACTCACTATACCGTTCCACACCTCCAAGTTTTAGGAGTCACTGACTCACCTCAACCCAAGCGGTTATGGAGTTGTGCATTGGATCCTGACCTCCCCCACTGGAGGTGTGATTCGCTGATACAAATACACTTGGGGCATTCTTGTACAATTTGGTAAAGGAAATATCAAAGAAAAAAAAAAAAAAAAAAAAAAAGAAAAGAAAAGAAAAAGAAAAGAAAAGGAAAATGGAAAGAAAGAGAAAATTCGCTATTTTATGTAATTTGAGACAATTCAACGCGCAACAAATATAATGCTGAGAAAGGACGTAAAAAGGCAAAAAATGAAGTCTGCTACATACGACATAGATGTCCTCATGTGAGCCCGCGTAATTTTGCAGTTCTCTTAAACATATTTTAAAGGAAGATCGTGTGATATCCTCCAACCAAATACTGGCGGCGTCTCTCTTCAGTCCGGCACGGTGATGTGCAACGGTCACAAAAACTGAAGGCTCCTTTGGAAACTAAACCAACATAGAAAAATTACTTGTATCAAATTTTCTAAGCAAGCCATGTTGTGAATAAAAGTTTAAATCTATAACATTTTAAATAACTTATTTTATAATAATCAATTAATTAATCAATTAAAACACTTCCTTGCTAGGTAGTAACAAAGACAAAGTGAAAAAGGCGTCTCGTTTTAGTTTTCTTCAAGCAGGTAACGTCTCATAGGATTAGCTTAAAACACGAAGGCACTACGTTTAAATTGAGAATTGAGGTCCACAGATCTGTATTTTGTCTGCATGTGTACTTTAAAAACAGTTGTCCGGTTTTCATGTGTTATGACCGCATAATAAAAAAAGTACCTGTCTGTTAGTTTTGAATTGGATGTACCATGAACCGAACTGTGAGCACACCCTCTAACATGGTGTGTATATTGCCGAAGCGAGACTTTTATTTTTTTGTGTGTATGTTGACGTATTGTAGTGCAGCATTTGATCCTTTTACAAAACAAACATAAATAAATCAATCAATCAATCAATAAATAAGTAAATAAATCAATAAATAAGTAAATAAATAAATAAAAATTCTACCAAGCGAAAACAAAACCAATGGCGAGAGTGACACAACAGAGGGAGGCTTCAGTTGAAGTGCGCCTTTAAGAAACAATTATTTTCATAAATGACTAGATAAGTACACTAAATCTATTAAATTATCCATAAACAGCTAAAAAGTTAATATTTATTTACTAAGAAAGCTAAAAAATATCATGAGTATTAAAAAAAACATTAATTGTAACTCTAGTAACAGCATATATTACTTCATATGATGTTACGTGCAACGCAGCACTTGGGGCAAATTGATTTTCACGTGCTGAAAATGTTGACGTCTTAAAATTTAACCAAGGCACGCTGTTCGTGTCCATTGAGCTCAGGGACTTGACGAATTTGTATTTATTGAGATCAAAACAGAGCAGATAGATGCTGGTAGATAATTCCATAACTAATAGGTAAACGATTAAAATAACTAGTTTAAAACAATGTAGTGCGGCACTTAGAAATTGACAAATCTAAAACTAAGCTGCTGTACAAAATCATTATGACAGATACTGTAGTGACCTAATCGGTATCTGAAGTAGAATTGAAAAGAAGATCATTGATTTCATGAACAAAAGAATAGGCAAGAGGTTCAGTTTAATATCATAAGCCTCTCCTGGTAGCTGGTAGAATCCGTTCAACTCAAGTTTAACATACATTTTGTAGCTCTTCATTGAAGACTTTCAACTTTAGAGATGTTTCCTACAGATTAAGGTGCCCAGATTCAGGGGAGATCTGTCGAATGAAAGGTACAAAAGTCTGCTGGTGTCTGTCAGTGTCAAAATCGCGGCAGGTGTGTCACTTCGAAGAAATCCTAATGTTCAGTAGCACTGTACTTAAGAGGTAACATTGTTTATGTACTGGTTCCACGTAAGGTCACCAGCAACCGTTACTCCAAAATCTTTTTGCGAGGTTACAGGAGACAGAGCATCAAATCCAATTGAATTTTATAGTCGAAACAGACTCGGGTTTCGTTTGCGTGGAACGGATAAACTTCGTATTTAGAGCTATTCCACAGTGCAGAAAGAAAT